AATATTTAACCAGTTACTGGCTTCGTCATACTTATTTTCTCCAAAAGAACTTGCTGCTAATTAACTTTACCATAGTGGGCACCGCAACTGAGATATATGTCATTTTGAAAGTCGCCAAACATATTACATTTAATCAAAATCATTACCAAACAAGTTTCAACATGTAAACATATGGATGGCTCAGTTTTATTCCCTTAAAAGTCAGATGAGTCAGGAGCCATATCTTACCTTCCCAAAGACACAAAGAAAGCTCGCTTTTGTGCCCAACACCTTACAAAGTGGGTTCGTGGTAAAAGACACAACCTCCTGCGGCCTGGAAGCATAATGATCCCCGAAAATATTAATAACGCCTGTTGTGAGCTAAATAAATAATACGAAATTAGTAAAGCAAAATGATTTAACTCATTATTCTGCATTCATTAATTGGATTTTGGAGATTGTGTCCGGTTCACACGTTTTTTAATCAGGGCGGTCACATGGTGAACTTTTATACCGGTGCACTGATGCAAATCGGTGAATCTCACCATCCCTACTAGTTACAAAAACATATTTGTTTGCTGCGGATCGTGTTGCTTCTGTATTTACAGATATTTTTAGTGGGGTGAGAGAGCAGGTTCAGCCAGCCTGCCCGCAGCAGCTGAGATCAAGGGTGTTGCTCAGGGCCTTCAGTGGTGATACAAGTACTCTGACTGTCAGGATGCAGGAACACACAACCTTCTAGATCTGTGTAGATTCCAAACTTAATGAGGTTAACACCAGCACTCTGCTCTTATTTTCAGGGGTGTCTGTTCATGTTTGAATTTCTCTGCTTGGATCCTGAAATCCTGGCCTGTACGGACAGACAGTGGACAGGCATGAAACCAAAAGTTCCAAGAAACCAAAGTTAATCCTCCTAGAAACCAGGGCACAAATGGTGTGCTTAAGATGCAAAGGCCTCGTCATTTTTGAACACATAAAAGGAAATATATTTAAAAAACTGTTCATACTGAAGAATTGCTCTTTCAGTTGCAGAGGAATTTACACCAGGCAGTCTGAAGTAAACAGTTTGTGCTTTTTTTTTTTGTTTTGAGTGTACAAACTGCTCCTTCATTTGCAAAGTATCTTACTTGCAAAATGTGTGCACCTCTTTTGAAACAATTACACATAGGATAAAAATCGGTATTCTTTCGATGGAACTGAAAACATTAATACTCTCAACGACACGTTTCGGAAATGACGGGTCTGTAATAGTTTTCTCCCCGTCCCCCCCCCCAACCCCGCCCCTGCCCCCGCCCCCCCAAGTTGTTCTCATGACAAATTAACTCTAGACAATTTACAGACACATCTCACTACAAGGTCGATTAAAAACCGGTTGTTCAGAAAGTTACCCAGAATGCAAGGGATGTGCATAGGCATTACGATTTCCTCCCCGGTCTTGGTTTTCCCAACCGACGGAATGTTCTCTGCCGTAGATAACAGGAGTTTGACACTGATAACACTGACTGCATGTTAGCCTGCAGGTATCCACATGCATGAGACGTCATTCAAATCTGTTAAACATTTACGGGTTTCCTTTAGAGAGACAGTATCTATTCTGGCTGACAGTGTCAGCTATGAAATGTAAACGGAACCTGGGAAAATCGAGAGTGGCAGCCATCTGCGAGGGACGGGGTGAATGTAGTGGGTAAAAAAATACAATTAAAAACAAACAAAATAGTGTGTTTCAGTGAAGGAAGCCATTAAGGAAGAGAGGGGTGCCACGAAGATCATGTGCTTTTCATCGGTCTGTAGGGGGCGCTACGTTTCAAACTGAAGCATGGGTCACACGTTATGAAGGCTGTGATGCGAAGCCAAGACTGACACCTGGGGTGTCTCTGTCCTAACGACGGTTTGAGATACTGTCTCTTTAAAAATAACAAAAACGTCGCCTCCTAGCTATAAGGACATGACAATATATAAATTTTATACAACACTACGTCTAGGTAGTCTTTAAGGACCAAGACTGGCTGTAGCTCATGTACAATGAGGTCTTCCAGGGAAGACGGTTTCTTCCATGGTAAGTTGAAGTTGAGCAGGTGCATTGTAAAGAAGGGGGTGGGACTGGGGGCGTGACCTAGTACACCCAGGAAACAGGCACCCACTGGGGCGCCGTGCACACCAGGTCGATGGCTTCCTCTAGGTATCTGATGGTCTCGTCGATCTCGTTGTTGATGACGGTCTGGTCGAAGTAGTGGGCGTACGTCTTCTGCAGAATCTCAGACTCCTTCTGCAGCCTCTGGAGGGACTCGTCCTGGAATGGAGCAGAGGACAGTGACCTCGGGATAGTCTCCCTCCTGTGTCTCCGGCTAGGGAGCATCTACAGGAAACCCGCCAGTGAGGTGAAGAACATTTCCTGAGGACCTGAGACCTGCCGCACACAGGGACCAGAACACAAAGTGCTACCTGCTACTCAAAAACTCACTACTGCTCCCCACGAAAAAGTCAACCCGGGATCGGTCTGTAAACCCAGCACTGCTTCAGATCTATGGCCCATGTGGCGGTAGCAGGAAAGGGCAGGAGCCAAGCGGAGTCAGGACGGGGGGGCCGAGGAGAACCAGGACCGGGGGGTGGGTCAAGGGGAATTGCGACGGGTTGCGGGAGCAGGATCACAGCACATGACGGCTGCAGCGCTAACACTAACACTAACACTAACACTAACACTAACACTAACACTAACACTGATGCTCACGCTCGCCACACTCATACTTACGGGCAGCTTTCTGCACCACCGGGGGGGCTGGCATGGAAGGGGAGCGCAACAGAAATCAGAACGTGGGCAAACAAAAGTAAGACGGGGGGGGGGCTGCAACTCCATGGTCGCCTACGGCAACGGCCCCACATGTGGGACCTACTGAGCTGCCAACAGAGCTGGGGCTTGGCTGCAGGACATCTCAGGACAGCTATTGTCAGCAGAACCGAAAGCAGATGGAGGCCTGAGCACTAAAGCTGCTTTCTCTTCCTCCATGACGGAATGGAAAACCTGACCGCCATTTCCCCGGCAGACAGGCTGGGGTTTTAGTCACCGAGGCCTGACGGGAGGCTGGCCGGCCAGCAGACAAGAGGGCCGATGTTAGGGTCGACGACGGCCTTCGTCAGACACCAAAATGCCATGCACACATCAACTGTGGAGAAGCCGCGGTGCTGGGACAGCAAGATGACATCTGGCTGTGATGGTTTAAGGTGGGAAGTTGAGGATTTTTTAAAGGTGGGGGGCATAGGAGGGGCGATAATTCATATGGGGAAGCCGACCTTATCATTAGCCAATGACATGTTTTGAATCGGTGAGTGACAGGGGAGGGGGCCAATCAGCTTTCAGCTAGGGCCAGCACCCTTGTGCCCCTGCCCCATGGCCCCACCCCTGCTGTTCAGTGTTAACAATATGCTCTTAACTTTTGTGTACACTTTAAAATAATATTTTTGGAGTGATTTTTAAACAAGTCCAACTACAACAAACTTTTGGAAACTGTTTAGACCTGCTAGCCTGACCACGGCACGCTGGGAATGTTTATACAGCAGTTTTCTGTCTTTTTTTCACATTTCCTGCCCCTCTGGTGGTGGGATTTAATGCTTGTTTAACATCTTGGACATCCCAAAGACAGGCGTAAGAAGCTCTGCGTGTGTGCCGGCCTGGGAGCCTCACCTCGCTGATGCCGGGCGTTACGGTCGGGGCAGCAATGAAGACGACGTAGGGGGCAAATTCAGCCGTCCGTAGGACCTTCAGGGCCTGTGGGAAAACAAAGACCTCAGTGGAGCTCCTCCAGATGGCTCCGGTTTTCTGGAAACATCTCCCTGCCCAGGAGCGCCACCCACCTGTGGCTCCACGTCGAGGATGGAGATGAGCCCCTGCTCGTGGATCTTGCGTATGGTCTCCAGCCGAGTGCCATACATGGCATCCTCATGGCTGCCGTATTCCAGGTAATCGTTGTTCGAGATGTCCTGCATCATCTGGTCGTGGGATACGAAGTAGTAGTTCTTACCGTTTTCCTCATCCTTCTTCGGAGGTCTGGTTGTGTCTGTGTGGATGGAGGAGGGGGTGATGGACCTGGTGAGACGCACTGCAGGGATCTCCATGCAGGGATCTCCATGCAGGGATCTCCATGCAGGGATAATATGAAAATGGCATTTTCTCATTCAGCCAGCAGTGCCACTCTGTGGTGGAACCACCCTTTGCAGATCTGGTTTCTCTGAGCACGGCCTGTTCCACGGCCTGTTCCACGGCCTGTTCCACGGCCTGTTCCACGGCCTGTTCCCTCACGGGTCTTAACTGTAGCAACAGCACCACCAGCTGGAGACATTTATTAGCCCTTTAAATTGCAATGACTTAGTGAAACAGAGTCAGTGGTTGACGCTAAAATCAATGACAGCGCCCTGTGCTTCCTGGGTAAGTTCCAGGCTTTGCAACCTTGTGCTGGATAACCAGAGTGTACCTATGATACAGTTAGACAGGTTTATCCCCATTTCATTTAAGGGTTCTTTAGCTCTGACAACAGACAGAGATGTGGCAGAATCACAAGGGGGGGGGGGGGCAGCTAGCAGACTTTGGAGCCTGAGTCACTCTGTCCTTATAGCCAGTGCTGGGCCTCTTGGTTCCTTGTTTTTTCCTTGTCATATTTACAGGATTAACTTGCTTTCACATGGTAAATAATGATAAATCCTTTATTTGCCATTTGCACAAGTACATTGGGATGCTTCTCTTGGCCGAGCCCATATTGCTCTCCATAGCTTGGGGGTGACAGTACAGGGTCAGCCAGCATGTAGTATCCCTGGGACTGGAGGTTAAGGGCCCACAGACTATTTTCCCGAGGGCAGAGATCAAACCAGGAACCTTCTGATCACAGGCACAGAGGCTTAGTCCACTGAGCCACACGTTGCCCCCAAATAAGGGCAGTCTTTTCAATGGCTGACCGCTTAAGCCCATTTAGCCGTGCGGTGGCCAATCTAAAGATGATGTTCCTCTTGTTGCAAAATTTTTGTTACGTGCTTCAGGGGCTGCTGTGTTGGAGGGTGGCATGCAAAGACCCAGAGAAGGTGATGGGAACAGCCAGAGTGAGACCTGGACACCAGCACTGCCAGCAGAGGAGATCAGGAAGTGTCTTACGTGGGATGGGGTAGGCAAATCTGTGCGGGTGCTTGGCGATCAGCGTGTTCTTGATGTGCCGACGTCCGACTCCGTGGGCCCCTGTGACGGGAAGATGTGGTCAGGCTGGCGGCCACAGGTCCTAAGGGTGGGGGACACGGGGCCTCCCCCTGCAACGACACCCCCCCCCCCGCACTCCCATCGCCTTACGCACCCAGAAGGACCAGAGTTTTCCTCTTGAAAGCAGGCAGCTTCACCACTTCCTCGTACGTGACCAGGTCTAGTTGATCGAACACTGGAACGGGAAGAGGGCGCTGCTGAGTCACTCATAAGGGTGACCGCGATGCGGTCGGAGCACTGCGTGGTGCGATGGCGCATTTCGGAAATGGAATGGAATAAAAAGCACCACAGGCAGAGAGAGAGAGAGAGAGAGAGAGAGAGAGAGAGGGAGAGAGAGAGAGAGACAGCCTGAATGTACCTCACTGAGAGACTCTAAGAATTGGATAAAAACAAGAAGAGTGCTTTAAGAAAATTCTTGAATAGTTCTCGAAGCGATATTTAAAAGCTTGCCGATTCAGATTCTCTTCTCATGTGCTCATACTGTCTTGTGCCTCTAATGGTGGTTATGGGGGGTGAGGACAAAACAGATGGTTCCAGAAGGCGATCTAAGCACGGTTTGGTGATGACAGTGGGGACCAACGGCAATCTACTGCCTCGACATTGCGGGTGCGTCCCAGAAACGGTAAAGATGGTAAACCGGATTTCTCGGGCTTTGTGCATCCTGAAAAAGCCCCCTAGCTACTCTGGCCCCCGAGAGACGCAGTGCGGGAGGTGTAACTGAGAAAAAGGTAAAGCGGGTGAATCCAAAAGCGGATGCTGATGAGGAGCTGGACCAACTTCCTGCATAAATAACCACGCAATAAAATAATGAAAGAGGATCCAGTGTGGGATAATGAGGCTGTTTTCATAATTTTCACCCGACATCTTTATGGCAGGGTGTTTTCAACCCAGTCCTCAGGGACCCCTGAACAGTCCACATTTTTGCTTCCTCCCAGGTACTTGGTGTTCTGCAAGCAAGGAGGGAGCAAAAATGTGGACTTGGTCTTGGGGTACCTAAGGATCGTGTTGGGAAATGCTGCTCTGTGGGTGTGCATTAAAAGCGGAGGCTGCACATGCAACATTCAAAGGCTAAAGAAATTCTTGTGCTCCAGATGAATGTGGGGGTGGGGGGGGGGGACTTGTACAGCTCTCCTGGCCTTGGACAGAAAATATTGCCCAAATCATACGAGTTCGCAGACTAGAAGCAGTTCTGCAGGAAGAGCAGAGGGGAACGGAAAGTCACGGCTGACCGCGATTTCGAAATGGGGGGAGGAGCCAAGCTAAACTCTGCGAGGAGATTTCCGTTTCAATTCTACCGCGTCTGTCATAAAAACAGAAAAAGCAAAGGCCCAGAATGGCATGGCGGCCAGGTGCCGACGGCGAGGACGTGAATGGGCACATGGGAGAGGAAAGCAGGCAGGAAACAAGACAGAGAGAGACATCGTTACCAAGTGTTACTTACATGCAGAGAGGCCATTGGCAGGGAGACAGCATGGAAAATGGGAGGAGGAGGCATCGAGATATAGTTTAGTCACATTGGTCAACACAGACAGCGTTTCCATTAAGAAAACACACCGGTTAAGTGTTAATACAGCCAGTGTGCAGGAGTAGCCCGTGTAGAGGAGTGGTCAGGCTGGCTCAGCCTGCGGGGACATTCTGACCCCCACAGAAACACCCAACAGGTTTATACGACACACAGGACAGCTCTACACCACAGCCACTGGCGTTCCTGTCCAAAGACAAAACTGAAAGAGCCAAAAGAATGTTTAGGGTGCATCTCTCAGAAGGTTGAGGTGCGTGTTTGGGGAAGGGTTTGTCGTGTTATGATGCATGTATAGCGTTATATTCACTGGAGTCCAGGGAAAAACAGGACACCGAATTTCAGAGGCACTTTGGGGTCTGCAGAAGCAAGACTGAGCAGCTGGTTTGCGTGCCGGTTAGGACTGGGTGGTATCATATCGATATTATATCGCGTGTGTGCAATGATCACCGGGGCTTCAGGTGACAGACGAAGCATTTGGCTGGACGCCAGCTTTTCGGTGCTGTACGGACACAATTTGGTAAGACGATTAGTGTGTTTGGATTATGTATATATTACATTGTGGGGATATTTGGGTCCCCACAAAGAGAAGCTCAATTTGATAAAAATCTGTGGCTGCAATCAAAAAAACTACAAATGTCAAAAGTCAAACATTGTTTGGTTACTGACGGTTAAGGTTAGGGTTAAGGCAGTCATTGGTGGGATTAGGGTTTTGCCCATAGAAATGAATGGAGAGTCCCCACAGTGTATGTGTCTGTATAAAGCACAGAGGTGAACCGCCACTTGGTTTGTGTGTGTAACTCTGCAGATCTTGCTGTCACAGCAGAAAATAGGCCACTTCCTGTGAGACCGAGGCGTTCTGCCCCGGGCTCTGAGACCGGGGGCTGTTTCTGAGCTCCCTGGCTGCTTCCGGCCCTAGGTGCCAATGCCCGCTTCCTCCGGTGTAATCAGTGCACCTCTCTGCGCAGCCTGTGAGCCACTCACCCCTGTACACACTAAGAGGCCTGGTGACTGGTAGCTAAATGGCTTCCTAGTGATGCCAGACACAACCACAACTTTCACAACAAAATTTTTCATCCGGTTACACAGAATCTGTCTGGGCGGCAGATGAACGCGGGTGGCCGCTTTATGACTGCGGTGCAGCTATGACCCAGCGGGGCGTGACGACGGGGGTGCCCGCCCCACGACGGGGGTGCCCGCCCCACACTCACCTGTGTTGTGCTTAGCCAGGTACTTGTCCTTGTACTGTTTCTTCTTCTTGCCAAACCAGGTGCAGGTGGCCTGCTGTTCCTGCTTCGTCTTCTCCATGGCGATGCAGGCCACACGCCTTCAAGGGTAGGAGCAGAGAGGTAAGATCACCACCAGGCTGCCCCCAAAGCCCGTGGGCTTCACGGCTGGTGCCAGGCGTACCATTCCTGCAGCTCTGGGGAGGGGATGAGGCCAGCCGTCCCATTCTTGGTGCTCTCCAGCTTGCCCTGCCACCAGTTGTGGTCGTCCTTGCTGATGATCTGGATGATGTCACCCACCCTGAAGGAGATGCCCGCTTCCTTGCAGGGGATCAGGTCATCCTTGGTGGGGTCATACTCAAACTGCGCCCTCACATAGATCTGTGGGGAGGAGGGAAGCAGGGATGGGCAGGCGAGGGTGGGGGGGAATATTTGATAGTTATTATAAAGCAGTGGGAGAGAAATGAAGGAACGGGGGTGGAGAAAGAAGACCCACTGTATGGCAAGGATCTCAGCAGGGCCTGTATGACTGAGCATGCTCAGCAGGGCCTGTATGACTGAGCATGCTCAGCAGGGCCTGTATGACTGAGCATGCTCAGCAGGGCCTGTATGACTGGGCATGCTCAGCAGGGCCTGTATGACTGGGCATGCTCAGCAGGGCCTGTATGACTGAGCATGCTCAGCTGAGGTGGCATGATGCACATGCATTGGGTAACGAGAAATAAAAACGTGAGAGCCGTTACCAGTCACAGCCAGTCACTGTCAGTCAGCATTAGCACTGATTGGTCAGTCCAGAGAGAAGCTAACTCAAGCTGACTTCAGTGGCTGTGGAAATTTAATTTCACCTCAGAGGTCCCTGCCTAAGCCAAGCAGGCCACTCTCCCAGGCACCAGGAAGGGATCCTTCGAAAAGGAAGCTGAGGATGCCGAGAGGTACTACGGCCAGCAAGGAGTTTTATGATAAAGACAGGGTCCTGAACCGTACAGAGAGGCTCCAGGGGGCCCTTAACTGTACAGAGAGGCTCCACGGGGCCCTGAACCCTACAGAGAGGCTCCAGGGGGCCCTTAACTGTACAGAGAGGCTCCAGGGGGCCCTTAACTGTACAGTGAGGCTCCAGGGGGCCCTTAACTGTACAGAGAGGCTCCAGGGGGCCCTGAACCATACAGAGAGGCTCCAGGGGGCCCTTAACTGTACAGAGAGGCTCCAGGGGGCCCTTAACTGTACAGAGAGGCTCCAGGGGGCCCTTAACTGTACAGTGAGGCTTCAGGGGGCCCTGAACCGTACAGAGAGGCTCCAGGGGGCCCTGAACTGCACGGAAACCCTACAGACTATTTACATGGTAAAAGACCGTTACATGCATGTAAATTCGTGTCTCGAATTGAAAACATCACGCCGGCCAGCTGATCTTATGCACTTATGGAAGGAAAGACGCTGCGATGTCTAGTGGCTCTCTGCTGTCACGTCAGCGAGATGGTGAATTAGGGCCTTTTAAATGGTGGGGGGAGGGGATTCAAACATGAATACTGAGACAGGAGGACTATTATGGTATTTACCTGTCGTCCTTTGGGCTGGATTGTTGCTGGTAAATCCTGTAAAGAAAAAAGAACAAACACCCAGGATGGGAGAAGATTGACCATTTAATTGGCATGTCTGCAGAAAGACATTCACTTTGGTTCACACGCTGTGGCAGCAGACGGTTTGGTCCCCTGGCAACAAGCGAGTGGCAGCCCAGAGCGAGCAAGCAAGCGTCTAACACCAGTCAGAAAAGCTGTGAGGACGGAGGCCACGTCCCCCCATGCCAGGCGGCCAATCGCACGCAGATCCAGCGGGCGGGCCCTGCAGCGCACATGCTCAGTCAGTGCTGAGGTGACCAAGGCTTCTCTACAGGCCACGCCCCCCCCATGCCAGGCGGCCAATCGCACGCAGACCCAGCGGGGGGGCCCTGCGGCGCACATGCTCAGTCAGTGTTCTCTACAGGTCAACGCCTCCAACGGAGTCTTTATGCTTGACCTTGGGGTTACAAGGGACCCTTAATGGCATCAACAGGCATGACATAATCGACCATGGGCCCCCGGAACAGAGGGTCAGTCTGAGGCAGCATGAGACTCCGATAGACAGGGAGGTCCAGAGCGGCCATCTGAAAGCACTGCGTGTTGGCGGGGGGGCTGTCAGAGCACGGGAGCACAGCAAGAGTCTGCACACCAATTTGAGAACTGAGATAGCGGAAATGAGGCTCAGCTGATGACCCTGCTGCCTCTGTGCTCACCGAGAAATGACCTGAGCTAGACTCTGGGGGGTGTGGTGGGGGGGGGCACCACGGCCTACAGGACACTCTTTCAGTATGATGGGTTACAGTCACAATGGGGGGGCTAAACGTATGTGGGGGGGGGGACAGACAGAAGTGGTGTTTTACAGGAAAACAAGTAGGATAGAAGAAGCATCA